TATTTTGTGTCAACACGTAATTTGAAGTGTCAGCACCACGCGATCAGCATCTAAAATTCAGTTTCCTATTTCTATTCCAAGTCCTACTTCTATTTCAATTAGGGTTTTTAAAATCCTATAAATACCCATCTAAATTCAGAATGAGGAGAGTTTTGAGAGGCTAGTGGCAGCCCTCTTTTGGGCATTCTTGAAGGTCAAGATAGAGGATTCAACAATAAGAGATCAAGGATTGCAATTTTCTCAAATTGAGTTTTATTCTTCCTTGTTCATAATTGTGATTTTAGATTTTATTATTTTTATTATGAACTGATTTATTCTACTAGGGCTACGATGTAGCCTAATTAATTCAATATAGATTTTGTGATTTTATGTTTTCAATTAAAATTATTTGTATGAGGAGTTTATATTATTGAACTTAATGCATTGGAAGCCTGATCATCTTTTAATTGATTTAGTGATTTATGCATGAACTTGAGAAAGAACTGCGTAGATTAGACCAATAATAATATAAACCGTGTGCTAGACTATGAGACCGAGAGGTAATCAGCTCACATGTGGTAGTGGAGGAAGAGAAGAGAGTTAGTAGCTCCCCCTTCTTAAGTTAGAGGTTTCCATAAAATTTAATGCTCATTAGTTTGTTTAAAATTACATAAAAATATGATTAATTTAACAAACCAGTGAAAGATTAACTTGACTTGAGAAAGCTAGTTAATTAATTTTGGGAAATCCACTATCACATGCAATAACACTCAACAATTTAATAATCCAAAATTTATATTGATCGATTATGGTGAAGTTAATGCCTTAGTATCTCATATCTTGGTTAGGTTTAATTTAATTGTTATTTTCCTTTTATTATTTTTTTAGTTAAACTTTCTTCTCATTTGGTTGTTCAAATAAATTTGGATTAATTATTTTGGTATTTAATTAGACAATTCTCGTGGGTTCGACACTCTTCTCATCATTATATTATTTGGAGCGACTAATACACTTGTTACGGTGATTTTAGTGCATCACATAAGAACAGCCATGATAATTTAAAAGCTTTATTTGAAAGTGAATGACAGTTCCATATGCTTATTATGACCAAAACTAGTCTCTTTGGAAGTTCAAACTTCATTTGTGGGCTTCATGGTCGATCTAAATTTACAGATTTGTTTGATGGGCAGTAATACTTATTTTATAAAATAAAATTTAAAAATTTTTATAAAAAAAATAATAAATGAGATTAAAATTTGATATCAAAATATGAGATTTATGTGATTTATATCTCGTTATTTAAAATATTAAAAAATAATTTTTATATTATTTATTGATTATTTTTTTTATAATTTATAATATTATATATACCAATTAATTTAATAACATTATATATGTCATATAATTAATTTCAAATTTTTCTTTCAAATTTTCATCCCCTTAACTATCATTATTCTTTCATAAAAGGTTACGAATTACAAAGTTATAATGTCTAACTTCCATAAAGTATTGTATAATTAAGGATGATCAAATATATTGTCACGCCCCAAAATCAGGAGCGAAACAGACGCCGTGTACTCGTGAACGGATCCCACAAATGCACAAGACTCAGAATCTACTGTGTTCATAATTATCAATTTACATAACTTAAATAAAAAACTCGATTAATATCTAGCTTTCAATTACCAAAAATTTACTAATCAAAATGTACAAAAGTTTATAAAACAGTCATGACTATAACCAAGGGAAACTCAGTATACAAAATGACTTATCATTTCACATTTATGTCAAGCATGTGTGGCTAACGGTCTAAGTCCAAAAAGCATCTAAGTCCAAAATATTGGCTCGTCACTCCCCCTAGTTAACCGTGCCTCGGGTCTCACTCTCTGAAATGGTGGACAAGGAAAACTATGAGATAAGATATCTTAGTAAATAAAAATATAAGTAGCCCGTGAGTAAAATTTAAGCATGCCCAATAAACAATTTAACATAACAAAACATTTAATGATAAACCATTAATGCAGAATAAGATTCCGTAGTAGTCTCATCTATAAGTCAATAACAAAGCGTTCAATGATAAACCGTTAATGCAGAATAAGATTCAGTAGTAGTCTCATCTATAAGTTATGGCCAGTGTTTAACAACTCCCACTGGCAGGCGTCAGTTTCAGTAATAACCAATGTATTATCCCATTGGCAAAATTACAGAATGAACCGGTCCTATCGATATACATGTCGACATTTGCTAGTGTTTGCAAACTCCCACTAGCGGGCGTCAGTAATCAGTAATCACAACTATGTTAGAGACAAAACCATGCAGGATTTATAAGAAAAATCCGTAATTCACAATCAATCTTAAATTTCAAGAATAAACCGAAAAAATTCCATGTATGGCATGGATTTAATGGGAAAATCATAATTTACAAAAATTTTCAGATCATCAAGGCAGTTAAGTAAACTCCAAGTAGACATGCTCTACTCAATGAAAATGATGATAATTCAATTTCAAACCAATCATGCTCGGTGCTAATAAAATCAATTTAAACTTTGCCACCATCTCAAAAACAATTTAAAATAAGCTTTTACTTTGAAATTGAAGGACGTTATCATAATTTACTTGCCTCAATCGCATAACACAAAAAATTCACTCCAAGTGCTTGGGTGACAGAACAATCAAGAAACTAACCAAAATATTCCAGAATTAATAATCATACGACCAGACATTTCAATTTTATTCTCAATATAAACTAAACATTTAAACCTACCTATTGTTGCCAGTCATTAATCCCATAAGAAATCTCATTTATTTATTTATCCTTATTTTTCTTCTATCTGAAATTGAGCACAAAAATCATATTGTGCATTTATATATGCATAAACACACATATACACAATTCTCCAATTTCACAGACAACATGGAGGAACCAGCCTTGGCAACACAATAGCTAATTTTACGGGAATTTTCTCCAGAATCTCACAGCAGCTAATTAATACCCAATCACATAAATTCTACATGAATTAAGCTTAATTTTGTTCTAATTGCTACCGGAATTCATCCCCTATTTCAGCAAAATTCGGACAACACAGGGGCAGCAAATAAATGGATAATTTCAGCAACTAATGGGTAAATTTGGATTTAGATGGAGCTGTCACATACCAGAAAATTCAGCAAGCAAACCGGAGCTGGCGGGTTTGGGGGAGGCCGACGGGAATGGAAGGAGAAATCAGGAGATCTACCGGAAATTGGAGAAACCAAAAGAAATTAGAGTAAACCCAAGCCAAATCAAGGGAGAAAAGAGGAATTAGTTGCTGTTTCCTTACCAGAAACCTGAAAAATTCACACCCAAACCCAGCCAAGAGCAGCGGACGGAGGGGAAGAAACACAGCAGATCTGAAATTTTCTGCAGAGGGGAAGATTTCTAAGTTCTAAATCTTATTCTTGAACAAAAAAGAAAGGAAAAATCAAGTTTTTTTACCGTTTCTCAAGGGGTGGGTGCTGTCGGGCTTGGGGCTCTTGTTCGACTGTAGGGGAGAAGAAGAAGAGCAGAAACACGCTGTTGAGGAAGAAAGAAAGAAGGAAAAAAAATCAGCAATCCTTATCTTAATTTTTTTCTTTTTTAAGTCTCTCAAATTTGAAAATTTTATGATTAAGGTCAATAATATTATTTTTTCACAATTAGATTCCTAACTCACACTTAATTGTTCTAGAAATTTTTGGGGTATTACATATATGATCTTGATAAGATTTCAGGTCTTAGATGATCAACAAGGTGGCATCAATAAGCAAATGGTTTTTTTTTAATGAATTATTAAATTTAAAATTAGTAATTATCTAAAAGAATAATTTAATATATAATTTTAGGAGGCTGCAAATTTTTAGGTTTTCTTGCAAAAAAGTGTAAGACTATTTATTAAATTAATTAAATAATCTTAATAAATCAAAACAGAGAGAAAATTTATTAAAAGCATTTAAAATAATTTCATAAACATTTTTAGATTTTTTCATGTAAATTAACTTAAAAACACTTTCTATACTTTTAATTAATTATTAATATAAAAATTTATGCTTCTAAAAAAATTAATATAAAAATTTATAATTAGTAAATACCTAATCAGATTCATATACAGATGAATTGCGCGAAGCAATAATGAGGTTTAGTTTATAAAAAATAGCTAAAGTATAAGAAAATTCTTTTTTTTTTTCCACAAACAAAAGCCAAAGAAATGTTTTGAAAAAAAAAAAAGAAGAAAAAAAACAAGGGAACAAGAGCTACTTACCATGAAAAATGTAAAAAACGTAAAAAATGCAAAAATGATAAATCAGGCTGATAAACAGGGGAAGTTAGCCTTCCTGCAAGAAACTGGATCCAAAGCGCTTGGTAACCATTCTTGCAATCAAAACTAAATTTTATATTTGTAAAACAGCTAAGAGAAAATTAGCATGACTTACCGGAACTCTTATTAAATGGTTGAGTTTCAAATTAAAGGTATAGCCTTGTAACAGCCAGCCTATCAAGGCTTATGCCTTTTCTAATTGAATATTGATTAGTACATATTTTAATTTAATATATTTCAATTTAACACATTTTACTGTACATTCATTAAAAAAATATTGTTTTCTTATTTAAAAAAAATAAAATATGTAACTATGCATATAAAATACAAAAACAAACTGAACTATACTTATAATATATTTTGGTAATTAAACTAGATAAATGTTAAGAAGTTTGTTGAACTAAATGTATACCAATCATTTTCCTTTCTAATTACATTTATGAGTTCTCATGTTTTTTCTTATCTCCTGGCAAGAAGAAGTATATAATATGATTACTGAAAAGCCTTTGCGCATCAAAAAACATTACAAGCAGCAGCATCTCTTATTGGACATAAACTAAGAACATCCAAAACTGGTCTTCTTGTTGAGGATAAAACTCGAGTTGTTGATGTAAGAGTCCAGCATTAATGATTGTGTTTAAGACATGGGGCAGGACATGGCAATTAGATACGAGAAAGAGATAATCAAAGAAGAACAAACAAACAATTTTATGCACTGACTGAGCTTTGGAAAATATTTCACTGCGTGAAGATCAAGTACAAGCAAGCATCTGAGAATTCTTCTTTTCACCCCATCTTCTAATGAAGCTCCCCCTGTTTAACAAATTTTATATCAAAACTCAATCTACAATGGTAAGTGGATAGGTTACATATAAAATAAAGTTCTAATGGTCCTCCTATTGCCGCCCACAACGCCAATATAATTCTACTGCCATCAGGGTCACAGCCAAAATGTTGAAACATACAGCATTAGTGAATGTGATTGGCATTCTCA